TATAATTGACTAAAGATTCTAGAAAAATATGAGATAATTGATGGAACAGGGTATCTAAAGAAGCAGAAGATATACGATTAAGGTTATAATGAGAAACTATTGACCTTGAGAAGTTGGGAGAACATCTCCTTTAAGACTGAAGGAGAGGAGTACTAGTAAATGATGAATCTTGTGAGAGTAGAGGAGGCTCATACCGGTTGATTTGATCATCTTGATAAGTAAGCGGCAGGAATTTGGGGCCAGGGAAAGATGCAGGAGAGTGAACTAGATTGAGTGTGGCAAGAACTTTTGTCATCTCTGTAGTAATCCTATATAATAAAAGCCTAATATGCAAATTGTCCACTTGGGCAGTCGTTCGACCAGGAGGTCAACCAGGAGACCGGGAGTTAGACCGCTGACTATGACGTGTGCTGACCACCAGGGGGTGGCGACCAACCTTGCGTGGTACTTGGGCGGGGGACTGTGACCTCTCACCAGCTACCTGGGGGCAGGAGTGATGGGGACTGAGGTGCAATGAGAATGCAGGGTGTCCACTGAGCATGCTCTCCCTCTGCCTGCTACCCTCCCCCAGGACGCCAGGGCTCACACACCAGGGAAGCCCTCACGCTCAGGTGCTGGGCACCCATGAGGAGCCCGCCCTGCACCCATGGGACCTCTTCTGGGTGAGCCTACAGCCGCCAGGACCACAGGGCCAGTCAGGCTCCCCGTGGGTTCGCACAGGAGCCAGGCTGCAAGGCTGGCCGGGAGAGAGCATGCTGCCTGCCTGGCTTTGGTGTGGCACTGCTGGGCGACCCAGAGGCCCACGCTGCACCCTGGCCCACAGCATCAGGCCGCACTCAACGCATCTCTGTGTGGGGACTCAGGTGCCGTGACTCAAGTGGAGGGGGTGCATGGGGGCCTGGGGGTTCAGGTGCTGTCCAAGGCCCAGAGGTCAGCTGGGACCTGCCCTTCCACGCCAGATGCTCACGCTTAGATCGCCAGCCAGGCCTAGGGACTACACCCATGCACAACTTTTGTGCACTGGGCCTCTAGTATGATAAATAATATGATGGACCCAGAAAAAATCACATCCACACAAAACTATATATACAATTTAGGGATCTATGGACCCCAGGTTGAGAATGCCTGCTCTCAGTACTTAATGAAATTTAATAACAGTATTTCTGAGGAGTAATTTGGAGGCAAGCAGCTTGAATTGGCAACATTGCAACTCTTTCTGTGAGGGTAATAGCTGATGCAGTTTTAGGGATTGAGGCTCTGGGTTTCAAAGCAGTGGGAGGTTGGGGGGTAAAGTAGGGAGGGCAGTGGGGCAGAGGAAAGCAAAGTATCAGCCAGTGAAGAAGTGGCAGAGGCCCTAGCCTGTTTGGCTCAGTGGATAGAGCATCGGCCTGCAGACTGAAGGGTCCCAGGTTCAATTCCAACCAAGGCACATGCCTTGGGTTGCGGGCTCAGTCCAACGTGCAGGGGGCAGCCAATCAATGATTCCCTCTCATCATTGATGTTTCTACCTCTCTCTTCCTCTCCCTTCCTCTCTGAAATCAATAAAAATATATTAAAAAGAAAAAAAAGAAGTGACAGAGGGGCAGTAGAGGCACATGGAGGGTGGGGGTAGGAGGTAGGAGAGGTCCACTCTGGGTGCAGGTCATCAGGGATGCACTGACTATAGAGAAGGTAAAAATAATAATGAAACCAAAAGTCAGTCTTCTATTTATTATCATGATGAACAAGAAATTCTAAATGCTGAAAGTGGTAAAATACTCCTCTTTGAAAAGCCTTGGTCTAAGACCTAAACAGTTGCCTGCCTCTGGGTAGACTTCTGCCACTGAGAGGCAGATAAAGAGATTAGGATGGAGGGAGTGGTCCAGGAAGTGGGTGAGGTGATGGTGGGTAGTTGATGTACAGCCAAAGTTGAGTTGGTGCTAGAGTATAAAGACTCCTTCAACTGTTGGTGGTTGTAAGCAGCACAATTCAATGGCTTTCATCTCCTAGAATCTAGACGTCATCTGAAATCCTAAATCTTGCTTTTACTTGCTTAGCAGTCATAACTAAGCAGGTTTCACTGTCTTCAAAAGTCAGCTTCACTAAGGGAAGGCTGTGGGGGTGAGGGGGGAGGAGGGGAGATATTAACCAAAGAATGTATATGCATATATGCATAGCCCATGGACACAGGCAATAGTGTGGTGAAGGCCTGTGGTTGGGGGGGGGGGGGGGTTAATGGGGGGGAAAAGGGTCATCTGTAATACTTTCAACAATAAAGATAAAATTTTTAACAAATAAAAAAAGATTTTAAAAATTATAAAAAATAAAAGAATTACTAGTAATTAGTTTTTTTAAAAGTTAGCTTCACTCAAATCTGCACTTTTTTTTTCACCCCTGTCATAATAGATGGCATTTATTACATGTCTCTTTCTCCTACTAGATTATATACTCCTTAAGAGCAGGAATTGTGTCTTATTCATTCCTGAATCATCAATGCCTTCAGATAGGGACCCCAACACTTGCTCTATATATTGCTCTTCTTTATAGATTTCTCTGGTGACCAGGCAGTAGTATCTACAGAATGCTGCTGCTTTCCTTCTCCCAGGTACATGAACTGAGTCTCTTTCCATTTATGAAGAGTTACTGCTGGACCTTCATTCCATCCTGAAATCACAGGATGCAGAACCAGATTTTTTTAGGGAGGTTCACAGTAACTTCACACTTTTTTTAATCCAAAAGACCATCGAGAGCCCTGTGTAGGGCCCCTTAATGATGACTGTCTCCACCAGCGTGGAAACCACCAGCATTTGGCTGCGTTGTAACGTGATTAGTCCTGTCACAGCAATGCATGGGTATTTCTCTGGTGTCCCAAAAGAATTTAGGTGCTTTGTGAAACCCCTTTGCAACTTATTACTGGAGAAAACAGGGTTCGATTCACTTCCTCCAACTTCCCTGGGGAGGCACAAGAAGCTGACAGTTCTCTGTGAAGTGAACTACTTCTAAAATGGATGAATCTCCACCATCTCTTCCTATTCTTCTGCCTAACCCCAGGGGAGCCACTGTGGGGTTCTGACTAAGAAGTTGCCCACCACTGGCTAATGGACTAGATAAATCAGAACAGCTTGGTTTAACATCTGAGGTCAGAAGTAGGACCTTTCTAAAGAAATCAAAGAAGCAAAAGAAGTATAAAGGCAGTCCCCCAACCAGTGGCCCCACTGACAGGGTTCCAGGCCCTTAGTAAATACAGAAGCGAATGGAATAATCAAGCATCTTCAACTCAGTCAGATCTGGAGCACAGCCATATATCTGATTCCTCAATAGCAGTCTGGCTGTGGAGCCACGCATAGTCTCTAGGCAATGTGGAGACTATGCTTAATGCTCAGTCAACATTACTCAGAGCACTACACACCCTTCACGACCCTTCATGAGCCCTTGAGCACTTACATTTGAAGATAGGAATTTGATCTCAAGACAAGCATCAGGGGTTTGGGTATAGAATAGAGCTTTTTTATTCTACTGCTAATTTTATTAAATGTGCATTCAAAAAATAAATCTGGTCTGTATGAAGAATTTAGCTGCCCATTTAACCATAACAGCTGCCTAAGTTATCCACTGGTGCTCTTTATAGGAAATGTCTAAATAATTGAAATCATTAATTGGGTTAAAGAGATCCTTAGCACATTGGGTGTTCTATAAATAGAAGAATGAGTAAATAATATAGTGGTCTAGCTTTTCTAGCCCTTCCCCCTAAAGAGGTTATTTTGTGTGTTTTTTTGCACCAATAACATTGTTCGGGGACTTTTAAGAGGGATTTGGTTTAGGCTGGGGCGGGCTTTCCCAAGAAAATCACTTTTAGTTTGTTTCAGATATACTGCCACTTTCCCCCTTGGCTCTTTAACTAAAAATGAATAATTTGTTTATCTCTGCTGTTGTAGGTAGGAAGTTAGACATGAGAAACTGGGGGGAGGCCTACTCTGGGGTCCTGAACAGGGGTTCTACCAACACTGCCTTCAGACTGCCTCTCTATGGGTGGCCCAGCAGCCAGCAGATCGCCAGAGAGCAGATTCAGAACTAGCCGGTAACTTTTCTTCCCCTAGCATATCACTGTTCATGCAGTTTGGACCCCTGATCTTTCATATCACTGGTCAGGTGGTTTAGACACCCCCCTAACCTTTTCCTCCCCAAAGATAACATCTAGGCCTCAGTTGTATTTCAGCTCCAGGCCCAGAAAAGCAGCAAAACCAGACAAATGACTCCGTGGCTGCCTCAGGACCAGCTACATTGACTAATGACCCCCTGCCCTGGTACCGACCAATCAGTGGACACCACAACCCTGAAAGAGCACACCTGGAAAGCTGATGAATATTCTATTAAGACCCTCCTTTGAGACCTCCCCTAAGGTTCCCACCTGCAAGAGAGATAAATACACTCAGGACAAAGGACCCAGGGCGTGCTCTCCCTCCAAGGAACACACCCGTGTCATTCCCCCACAGGCATGTAACCCCCAATCTCTAAAGGACCCCATGAGACTTGCAATCAGGGGAGCAATGGGCAGCGGCAGCTCGTCCTGTGCTAACCCCCTGAACCTGTTTTCAAGGCCCCCTTTTCTCTGACTTCCCAGTGAGTTGGCAGCAGGCCGGCCATTGTCTCTTTGACTGGCCCTCTCCTCATTTGGAGTGTATCTTCAATAAACCCCACTTTGCTTTACTTTCATTTTTGTTGACCTTAAAATCTTTTCTGAGTCGATGAGAACTGAGGTCCTAGCTGGTAACCCCAATTGGTAACACTGTAAGTAGCCAGAAACCTGGGCTTTGCATTTTCAACTGGGATCAGAGAAAGAAGGCAAGGCAGCAGGCTGACGTTGCTTGTTATCTGAAATCAGACAGGTTTCAGACAGGTTTAAGTAGCCCAGAACCTTACAAACAGATAGAGGAGAAAAGAAAAAAAGGAAGGAAAGAGGAAAATGCTTATAAAGAGGAAGTGGTGAGAGGCTTCTGAATTTCAGTGTGACCTGTTCTGTTAGGTGATTTTTGTGGGGGAGGAGACATGAAGAAAGTTAAGTAAAATGTCCTTATAAAGACAAAATCTATTTCTTTCTTGGCTGATGATTTGTCATTTTAGTCACTTCCTGCCTTGTGACCACACACTCAGGGTTGACAAAGTTCTTCTGCAAATCAGAAAGAAGGGAGTTTCTGGTCACACGCCAGTACCATTGAGGACCGTTTTTCTACAAGGTAAATTTTCTTCATGCCTTTTTGTCATTTCTAAGTGCTTGTGATGCTTTGCTTATTGGGTGGCACTGTTTCTGTGGATTTGGATTTTGCTTTCAGAGGACTAGAGATCTGGACACCTGTCAGCTGAGCCCTTTGTGAGCCCTGCCACCATTAAATTGCTCAGCAATGCTGCAGCCACATCAGGTGGCTGTCTAGAGTGGGACCCCTCAGCTCTCTGGGTGGCTTCTCCAATTATGCACTGTTATGACCCAAAAAAACTATGATTTTTTTCTCTTTTTAAAACTAAATCATGTTCTGATTTATTTTTATTGCTTTATTTGAGGGAGGCTATTTACTGTGATTTTATCTGCTTTAAAAAAGTTTTTTAGAAAAGTGCATATTGATCATTTAGATTGTGCCTAATTGGGGGTGGTTTAATTTTTGCTACTGTGGTCCTGTTTTTTTCTTAAAAAAAAAAACTTCTTTACAATACTTTAGTGGATATATTAACATCTTGAATCACATGTTAATATGTTACTGGTTACTTGAGTGATTTTGATGCCAACAGTTTTTAATGGGTGTGCTTAATAACCACATGGAGTTAGAGGCCACCTCTTATCCATTTATTCTCTAACATTAAAAACAATTTGTGTTGCCTAATTGTACTTTTTCACAGATTTGTCTGAACTATTCATTATGCTTATGACCAGACAAATGACTATTAAATTTTGGATGAAATGTTTCTGTCTACAATAGAAATTCCTATAAAGTTGACAGGGGTATTTATTCTAGAAACTTTGTTGAAACAGACTTTAGATCTTGTAATATCAGCCTTTATTTACTTATCATTATCCAACAATATTAAGAACCATTGACAGATGATAAACATAAAAGCCATTCAGACTAGAAATGGATTCATTTTTCAGCATACTTAGCAAAATCCAATTTTTCTTAATCAAGTATAGCAACTTGTGTTCTATAATTACTCCATCAGGACCACTTAAAAAAAAACCCTTCAAAAAAATCATTAAACAAAGGTGGTTTATCCACACACATTTTGATTTTAATTTTATACAAATCTATCATAATTGGTTTCTATTAAATAAACTTGTTTAAAGAATATCTGCACAGGCAATTTTGAATGAAATTAACTATTTAACTATAAATGTGAATTTCTGAACATTGCAAAATGTGACCATTAGTATTGTTTTACACATGTCACCTGAAAAAAATGTGGAATTAAGAGAGGCAGACTTGAACCTCCCAAAAGAACAAATAAAAAAATGTGCTATGTGTTAAGTAAAAATATTGATGAGAATAAAATAAATTAGGATGTAAAGGTATGTCAGCATTTTCCTTACATTGGAGGCAATAAAATGGAATGTGAAAAAGTTAGTTTAAAGTAGCAAAAAGTCTCTTGATTTAAATCAAGTTTAGCTTGTTAAAGCATCAACATGCTATGTTATAAAATATTCATTCCTGTTCATTCTAGCTCACTGCCAGTAACATCAGAGAAGCAACTTCTGGGTCTTGCCCTTTGAGCAAGCACTGCTGTGGTGGGATGGAGTTGTGCTGAGGGGACATTTCATTAGCAATCTCAGGCATGCTTTTCTTTGTCAAATTTTAAATTTTGTCTTTTTCATAAATTATGTCTTGAAATAGTTGGTAATTTGGGAAACAGTTTTAGTGTTTTAACATCATTTATAATTTGTTTTCTGAATCCTTTGGGGAAGGGGAGGCTAACAAGTAAAGTCTCATTCAAATGTATCTATTTAAATGAGAGAGGATGGGACAAGTAATAATAACACTTAACATCTATAATTACTTACCATGTGCAGCCACTCTTCACGCATTTCATCATTTAATCATCTTTACAGATGAGGAGTGGGCTGAGATCATAAAGAAACTGGCCCAAGATTACTGAGCAGTTGGAGGGGGCAAGGGGCTGTAAGTAGCCAGGGTTTCCAGCTCCATGCTACCTCTCTATAAGCATGTGTGTCTATTCCAGATTCTCTCTTCCACACCAGCATATTTTTTTCCACCAGATGTAGATAATTAAAGGCTTTTATTTCTGAAACTGACTGGAGAGGTCTGGGCACTCAATTTAAGAGGCAGGGAAGGAATCTGGAAAGGAAGGGAGAGAGAGGGAAACAGAGGGATTGAGAAAGAGAGAAAGGGAGAGAGGGAGGGAGAAAGAGAGAGAGAGAGAGAAAAAGAGAGAGAGAAAGAGAAATAATTGCAGTAAACCCAGAAACATTTCTATTTTTATAATAAGAGATATCATTGCAGGTTTCATATAATAGTAAAATAAAGTATTTTTAATTAATGCATAATTTTACTAAAGAATTGTGTGCCTTCACAAACTTGCCTCAACCACTTCCCCAGTCTTATTACTTGTCACTTCCTTCTGCTCTCTCTGATCCCCCCACCCCCCTCACTTACTCTGGGTGCACAAGACCACAAGCCTCCAGAAAGTTCTATGCTATTTCACTTTTTTTTTTGCTCCAACTATTTCTCCAATTGCTTTTGCCTTTATTTGTAAAACTTCTGGTTATTTTTCAAGGCTCACATCAAGAAGCATGCCCTTTGAATTTTTCCTACTGAACCTCACCCCCTTTCTTTCACAAAGTTTCTTCTGTGTGTGTTTGCTTAATGCTTTGATCATAGAGTACGTATAGCAGCAATGGTATTATTTCCTGACAACCTGAGCTCCTTCTCTATTTCTCCTAACACACAGTAACTGCTAATGATATTTATTAAATTGCAAATTTGTCACAAGTATTTTTTCTCAACTCCTTAGGTATTCCTCAGAGCCTTTTCTTTGATTTCACTTATTAACTTAATATTTACTGAGTTTCTCCAGTGATTGCTATGAAAGGAGATACAGTAATAATATATTTTGCATTCTACCTTGCTTCCATCTTGCCAAAACACTATTCTTTATTTTGGCCTCAAAGCACTAAACAGACATTGACTTCAAGGAATTTAAGAAATTGTTTGATGACTATTGAAAACAGGCAAAATCATAATCTCATTATCTTAGTCTAACTGTATTCATTGAGCTAAAACTTGGCTACCCTTACCAAACTATGTACTTGATAATGAGCTTCTTTGATGACAAAGAGCAAAGGACTGTATATCATTAACTTTTACTTAGTCACTTTAGATTATTCTCAGAAAATTCTCAAGTCAATTTCTCTTTATTTCCTAAAGAGAAGCCAGCCTCTGTGTGTATAGGCGATATACCAAACAAATTTTAAAATCAAGTTAGATAAAATAAATTAATAAATTTTCTTATAAGCTTATAGCTATGAAGTAAAAAATTTTTGAACTAAGATTATAAAGGTATTGGACTTTATGACTAATAGCAGATTTTATAGCAGAGTGACATTTAGATTAATCTAATGGTCTTCCTAATGTTCTTTTGTGTGCTAGTTTCTCTATCAATGAAATAATGCTATTCCATCTGCATGTTGAACCCTGCAGAAATAAAAATTAGAATTAGAGTTCACCAAAATATAAAACTAATTAGTGTTGGCAGATTTCAAGATGTTCAAGTTTCCCCATTTTGGTAGATGGCAGTGTGCTTCTCAAATAAAAAGTGTTGCAGTTTCACATTGTTTTCATTTTGAAGTTCTACAAGTTACCACCTGATTAGAGGTTCATCTTCAGGGGCATCTCCATACAGCTGCTATAACTGCTGGCTCCCAGATGGCATCTCCAGATTGCTTCCCTCAGTCTCCTCCTGATTCAACTTCCTTATACTGTGCTATTGACTGTTCCTCTTGTTTTGGTTTGTCAATTTCAGTCATTACATAGTCTTCCCTGTAATTTCATAATCACTCCATCTTGTAAGATACCACAAACAGCAGAGGTGGAAAAAAGACTTTCAATTTATCAGCTTAATAATAGCAGCTAATACTTATGTACTACTACTCACTTTGAATTGAATATTTTAACCATATTAATGCATGTAGTCATCACAACAACCCAAGATTACTTAATTCATTCAAATATGTATTTGATTAATTTTCTACAGTTGAATCAGTATTGTATTAACTGCTGAATTCCAGGGGAAACCTCCTGGAGTAAACAGGCAACAGACTATGGCACTTTTTACACTTAAGCCCTCGAGCTGAACTTAAATAATCATAATTTATCCCAAATAAATACATCTGTATTATAATTGCTTTTATTAAACAGTCCATTCTTTATCATAATCATCACCATTTATTTAGCCCCTCTATGCACTTGACTGAGTATTTGGTTTTTACCAATTTATTGACCTCTGCCTGAGTCACAAAACATAATCTCTACCCTCAAAAACTCTATTATCAGTCTTGGAAGATTAGAATACTTTTAGTAAAGTGGTACATTTTCTAATTGTTGACTGATAGATAGAAATAAGTTAAACAATTTAGTATTTAGACCCAAATATACATGTCTATCTATAATAATAAAAGCTTTATATGCTAATTAGACCAGACAGCCGAACGACCTTCAGGACGAAGCCAGGGCTGCGAGGGTCGAGGCAAGCCACTGCCGCTGTGAGGGCCGAGCCCCTTGCACGAATTTCGTGCACTGGGCCTCTAGTAATTATATAATAATGGCCAAATACAATTATTCTAAAAACTACCAAAGAATGAAAGATTGTTTTAATTGTTAGCTGAGGAATAGAGGTAAAAAGCCCACTTACTGAGTTAAAATAAGTTTTGCTCAACTTCAGAGTCCTGCCTGCATCTTCCCCACTTGCAAGTAAGTTATAAGGAGGCTTGTTTCTCAAATATGGTTGGTTGTTTTTTCTGGTGGAAAGAAAAGCTAACATGTGGAATTAAGGAACTAGCAAACTCACCATTCTCTGGTTGCAGCATTGATTCTTGTTTTAGTCCAGTTCCAGTTACATGGATGGATGGATGGATGGATGGTCTCTCTCTCTCTCTCTCTCTCTCTCTCTCTCTCTCTCTCACACACACACACACACACACATCTTGACTGGCTGAGCTAAAATGAAAAAGAGATTA